TTACAGCTCAGCATAAAACCAAAAGAACTTGTGTGTAAAGTACAGACCATCTTTAGACTCTGGCCATCTCTGGCTGACACTGTATTTGGCTGTGGTTTCTTTAACGGGAGACACAGAAGCACAAATTCTGAGTCACAACCCAGAGAGCTCCTCTCTTTCTAGGGCTGTCATGGAGGAAACAGCCACAGAAGCTGCAGCGCATCTGCAAAGAGCTGCTCCCCACTTAAACTGGAATCTATCACTTCACTTGGATGGCCACTTACCTAGCCTCCTATTGGAAGAGCTGGTGGCCAGCATTTCTGACATTGTCTTTCGGGGGCTGGCCAATGCTGTTGCTGATCAGGAGCCACATGCTCACCCCACTCACTTTGGCACAACCCAGCCTGGTTGGAGATCAGGTTTGAAAATATTTGCCCCCAGCATGGCTGCTCCTACCCAGAAAATATTTGCACTGATAACTTCCAGCCCTTGTGTACAGAAGGAGGTCACCTCCCTGGGTAGGCCCAGGTGGTGGAAGTGGCAGGGGGAAGAGCTGTTTTATTTGAAAACTTCAACCCTCCTCTGGAAAAAAGCAGGACTCCAAAGACAGGCAGGCTTCACGGCAAAGCTGGGCCAGGCACATTGAAAGCAGATCATTTGTCTCGGGAGGCTACAGAGCTATTGCTTTCTTTAGAACAAACTATATTATTCCAACTTGAAAACCGGCAGACCTCTTGGCTCCTCGCTGTTTCTTTTCTTTCCTTTTGCCTTCTTCCCTCCCTTGCTTTTCTCTTTCCTTCTTTCTTCTCTTTCTTTCTCTGTTTCTCAAGAACAACTTAAAAGTAAAACTTCTGGAGCATTAGCTTATCATTTAGACTCTGTAGGGTTAAGCATTTGGGCAGGGTAGTTAAAACTAATCTCTCAAAATAAAAATACGAGTGGTGCTTGCTGTGTGTCAAGCTTTACTTCCAAGTACTTTATTCATTATAAAATACATAGAAGAAATTTGCTAGCACAGCTTAATAAACAATTTTGAGGTACGTGGTATCATCTCCATTTCTTAAATGGGGAGACTGAGAAATAGGGAGGGTAAGGCATTTTCCCAAGGTGTCTTAGCTAGTAGTTGGCAATGCTGGTATTTGAACCCAAGCAGCCTGACCTCTGAGTCTCAGTTCTCAGTCCCTGCACTGGACTTGGGACTTTCAGGGACTGAATATTGGCCAACTGCAGGTGAGAAAGATGGTGATGGTTTGGGGATAAAAGTCAGTTATTAATGAACACTTGGTTACATAAAAAAGACATTTATATAAATTTTCTTTTTATCTGCATCACAACACTATGCAGAGGTAATATTGTGTTCACTGTACAGATAAACTAAAGCTTAACTAGTTCTTCACCAGTGTTCAGCGTGAGTAGGAGGCAGACTCAGTTGCAGCGTAGGTCTGTCTGCACATTACCCCCTAGCTTTTCCCTATGTGAAATCTGCTCTCAACTGTTACTCTCATATAAAAACAACAAATATAAAACAAGCCCCGCAGTAAGCCACTGCTCTGTCCAGCCTCTCGTGGTGCTTGATGTAGGTGGACTCCTGACAGGGGTGGGGTGGGGTGGGGTGGGAGTGCGTTAGGAGGGAACACTGCTTTAGCCCTGCTCTCCTCCAGCCCAGCTTCCAATACCATTTTCCACCTCCCCGCAAGAAGAAACCAATGCTCCCTCCACACCGCTGCTAACAAGGAAAAAAGGAAAGGAGGAAAACAGGCACCTGTAAGCTTCTGTGGTTCACTTTGGTTGAAGCGCCACCCCCACTTTTGTTTCATCTTTTGTTTCTTTCACCCAAGCCTAAGGACGGACGTGCCTCACTCTTCTAAGGCTTGATGACTGAGCAATTGAACCAGAGACTTTGGATCCCTCTGAAGCTTCCTTTGTCTCGCTAAGTATGCCGGAATGACATTCTTTCCCTTCCTACCTGCTCTCGGCTGACATGCTATGTGCTGAGTCCCCCACATAAATTACATACAGAGTTTTGCACATCAGCACCCCCTGTAAGGCAGAGCACTCTATGTGTCTGTCTCAAATTCCTCCCCAAATTTCCCCTCCCTCCCCCATGGGGTTTTTCCCCCCATTAGGCAAATGGCAGGCCCATGCCACCTGTTAGCATTACATCATTGGCTCCCCAGAACACAGTTGCACCAAAGGCCTCAAACAAAGTAGTTCTTCTTGTATTGTTTGTACTCAAAGAGCTGATATCATGCCAACTGATGTCATTGTATGTCTTTGTGTAACTGCTATGGCAACTGGGCAGGTGGGGAGCCTCCAGCTGATGTCATTGGGAAAGGAGGTGTAGAGAGAATTTTAAAGAGCTGAATGCAGCTTTTTCTGTGTGTGGGGTTTTCTGTTTCTTACCCGCTTGTACTAGCCGCATTTAAGAGAAAGTACAGCTTTAGTACCCCAAATCTGAACAGAGAAACTACCCACCCCACAATCAACCCCGCTAAGAGAGTGTCGATAAGTTTGCTTTGTTGTTTTTCTCATTTATGTGGGAAAGTATAGCAACTGTATTTTTCTTACGGGGGGGAAAAAAAATTAAATTTCCATCGTGGAAATTCTGTGTCTGTGTAGAATGGTGTATGCATATTGTGTGGAGACAGAGCTGGTGGAAGATTAAAATAACAACAAACTCCAGAGTCCCAAAGTGTCTTTAATGCAAAACATGATAGTGACAGTGGGTAATTTTTGTTTTGTTTTGAGGTAGTCTTGGTAAAGGTTTTCTACTGTTTTTTCTTAAAACAAAAAACAAAAAACTTTAAAATTGATCTCTTTGAACCCAAACACATTTTATTGTTATGGCTTCATTGAGGAATAAACCAGTAATATTTAGGGGTAGAATTCAATCCTGGGGATCAATTGAAATGAGGATATGGGTTTCTTGGGTTTCTTTTCGTGAGCACAGGTAGGTTTTGACTCTCATTGCTATGCAAAATGAGCCCACTGCGACACTTTTGAATGTGCTTTACATCAGCCCTGTGCCTAAATGAAGACGCCTGTCTCCGTGGGCTGTGGGCAGTCAGGCAGGAGGCTCCGCCTCGTGCACAGCCTGGGGTTTCCGGCTGCGGTGACTGAAGATGAGCGGTGAACTAGAAGGACATATGTTAGGTTCAGAGACGTGTGAGTAGATTGACTTCCTGTTCTTATTCCAACCGAACCATATCCTGTTCACACTTGGTGGTTTGTGCCTTATCTTCTGTAACCATCAAGGCAGACTTGACGCATCTGAATACCTTTGAGTGTAAATGCTCTGTTCTGATGGCTTTTCACTTGAAAGAGTTTTCCAATTTTGCCCTCTTTGCAAAGGGAAGACTTGGCTTTATGTAATTTTGTAAGATCAGAATTAGAGCTCATGGAGTGATAAAAATGCAGACCCAAATGCCTTCATCCTTCGTCTATTGCGTGCAATTTGAGCCTCCTGTTGACCCCTTGGAATTATCTCTGGGGTAGTATGGGGAACACATTTTAAAGGAAAAAGTTACACACGAAACAATGATTTCTAATCTCATTGTTCTTTTCATTATCCACATAAACTTTCAGTATTTGGATACCTGGTGAATGTTTTTGAACAACTTTTTTTTCTCCATTTCAGATTAATCAATGTTTTCTTTATTTTCGTATAATTGAGCTATATAACAATAAAGGGAGTGATAACTTTTCCTTTGTGCTGCCCTCCTGTCATGTATTTGACCTTTTCTTAAAAACAGATAATGCTATATAATACATCTCAGGGCAGGCAATAGCAAATGAAAGATCATTCATTCTCTATATACATCGACTTGAATGTCTTTGGCTAGATTATGTTTCCTTGAATATGATCCCATAAGTGAGACTTGACTTGTTAGGGGCCAGAAACTGGCTGGGTTTATGCTTTTACACTAGGCCAGGCATCCTCAAACTGCAGCCCACGGGCCACATGTGGCCCGCCGAGGACACTTATCCAGCCCACCGGGTGTTTTTGCCCTGTTTGTTTTTTTACTTCAAAATAAGAAATGTGCAGTGTGAATAGGGATTTGTTCATAGTTTTTTTTTAAAAAACCCTCCAGCCCTCCAACAGGTCTGAGGGACAGTGAACTGGCCCCCTGTTTAGAAAGTTTGAGGACCCCTGTGACTAGACCCTTGACTCTTGGGAGGCTGATCTGGGACTTTAGCTCAGAGCTGTGTATTCATTTCCTAATGAATTTATGTATGCAAGGTTCCCAGACGCCTTATATCAGTGACTGGTCTCCTATCAGACTTGGTTCTGCCAAGAGTCCATGTTGACAAATGGACAGGAGATGGGGTGTGTCAGAAAAAGAGACCGTAAAGAAAGCTTCTACTTCATCTTTTCATTTCCAAACCCTTCTCTGCTGCCTCCACCTGTGGGTGATAATATAGATAACAGCTCACACTTTCTGAACGTATCCTAGGGGCCAGGCAATTCCAGATTCACTCAGTATCCACACTGAGTGGAAGATGCCAGCATGCTCATTGTACAGATGGTAGAACTGAGGTACAGAGAAGAAATTAACTTGCCAAGTCACAGGACCAACAAGTGGGAAGCTAGGGTCACAGCAATGGGGTCTGGCTCCTTCAGGGTCTCTGCACTCAACCCCTCCGCTGTATTGGGAACAAAAATCGCTTTCTGAGTGGGGTGAGTTTATGGAGAGATGCTGCCTGGGTGATCCCCAAGTGCAGTAACGCTACATAGGCCACTGAACATATGGATTTTTGAGGCTGATACCATTGGCTGCTCCTGAAATCGCATCATGCCCATGGAATTCTTTCCAGAGGAGCGTGCGCCTGTTGGTATAAATGCAATGAGATCCTCCTAAGCTTGTCCTGGGTCCCTGAATGGACTCTCATTTTGTTTCGATTATGCAAAAAACACTAGCAATAACAAAACAGAGAAGCAACCCCCACCCCCTCCTGGCCTTCTCTTCCAGTTCTTACACCTCTGGGGTAATCATTTCTCTTTCTCTGTTTTTCATTCCCAGGTGGACTTAGCAGTTTTAAGCAGAACCATGAAAACCTCTGTGACAACTCCCTTCAGCTCCAAGAGTGCCCGGAGGTTGGAGGTGGCGCCTCTGCAACCTTGGGCTTACTACCTCAGTCCCTCCCCACCACGCCAGACATTGAGAACGCAGAGCTCACCCCCATCCTGCCCTTCCTGTTTCTTGGCAACGAGCAGAACGCCCAGGACCTGGATACGATGCAGCGGCTGGACATCGGCTACGTCATCAATGTCACCACTCACCTTCCCCTCTACCACTACGAGAAAGGCCTGTTCAGCTACAAGCGGCTGCCCGCCACAGACAGCAACAAGCAGAACCTGCGGCAGTACTTCGAAGAGGCTTTTGAGTTCATTGGTAACTATCGCCTGCAGGGCACTCTCCTCCACCTGCCTTTCCCTGGGTCTGGGGCTTTGATAGTCAGCCCAAGGTTTCTCCCTGTGTTTCCGAAGTGCTGCTCTGAAGGGTTTGGGGGCCCTGCCACCTGATATGGCCAATGTCTTCGCCTAAGTCACAGCCAGTCAAGTGTGCCCGAGTCATCAGGTGGCATTTAAAGGAAAAGCAGTTCAACTAGACATTTTCATCCTTCAAGTTCTCAGTGAAAAATAATAGGCGTTAGCATTTAACTGCCCTTATTTAAAGCAAATAACTGGATGTGGGAACAGATGCTGCAGCTACCCAGCCTGCTGCTGTCCCTGAGCACCTCGCAGGCAGTGTAGTAAAGGTCTACCAGTATGACATTGGGAGCCCCGTTGGTGTCATGGTTAAAGCCCTGGGCTGCTAACAAAAGGGTCCGTGGTCCAAGCCACTCCTCAGGGGGACTGCGTGGCAGTCTGGTTCTGGGAAGGACACAGCCTTGGGGATCCTTTGGGGCAGTTCTACTCTGTCTTGTAGGGCCGCTGCACGTGCAATTAAGTTGACTGCAGCGGGTTTGCATTCTTTCTGACACTCCCTCCAAGCAAATGCACACATGCCTGTCACCTGACCGGACTCCTTTTGCATAGCAGATGTTTCCAGTTCCTTATCTGGCCTTAAAACGAATTTGCAATCGGCAGGGTCTGTTTACAGGAGGCTAAGAAAAGGGGGCATCTGCTCCAGTGTTGGATCTGGGCAAACCATCTCAGATGTTTGGGGTCATTTCAGAGAAGCAGAGAAGAGTAGAGGGCCGGGGATGGATGGTGGGGATAACGAGGTGGTTTTCCTCTAACTTCTTTGCCTTCCTTCTTAAATATCGAGTCGCAAGAAACATTAATACTAGTGAATTGGTACTTGCTTCCCTTAACTAATTTACTCCAAACTCACTGAAATAGAAAAGGTCAGGCTATATTATATACTCCAAATTCTTCCCAAGAAGGAATATTCTAGCCATCAACTAACCAACTGACTCCTGGTGGCCGACGTGTGTCAGAGTAAAGCTGCGCCATCCAAGGTTGTCAGTGGTTGGTTTGGGGGCAAGGAGAAGGAGGGCCAGGAGGGGAGGATTAAAACTCCAACCTTTCTGTTAGCAGCTGGATTCTGCAGCAGGCTTTAAGTTCTAGAAGGAAGTGACTATTAGCCTAACCCAAATCCTTCCCTCAGCTTCTGCTGCTTTTAGGACCTGGAACAGTTGTAAGGCTCACATCGTCATTTGAGGAACCCCTGGTACACAGAAGAGACTCAAAAGTAACACTAACTACTGCCCCCTCCTTTTTTTAAGGAACACTAATGACTCCCCGCTTTTTTTCAAACCATCAAGGAGTGGTCCAGTACTGTTTCTGAACATTGCAGCAGCTTGTTCTGAGTCTTTGTCACAGGAAGAATACACTTATAAACTGCTCCTTTCTCAGGGGAAAACAGAAGCAACAACATAGAGCCCCGGTGGCAAAATGGCAGCGGCACCCTGGGAGAAAGATAGGGCAGTCGGCTTCCCTGGAGAGTGCAACCAGGAAGCCTAGTGGAGCAGTTCTCTGCCCTGTAGTGTCTCTGCAAGTCACAGCTAATGTGCTGGCAGTGAGTTTTGTGACAATAAACAAGCCTTGGGTCTGGTGGGTCTGCTGTGGAATTGACAGCTTTGGTCACATCGTCCAGCTGTTTTTCTCACTAATTGTGCCTTAAACCCCTTAAACTCAGGACCATGGAATGTTTGCTCTGGAAGGAAAAGCAAGAGTGGTCACTGAACTCTGAGATACAGACTTCTCCAAGGCCATAGGAATTTGGCATCAGAGTAGGGACTGGTCCCAAGACTCCTGACCCTTAAGCCAGCAACCTTTCTACAACACCCTGGGGTAGTGTTTACAACGCTGTGTTAGTTAACAACTGGCAACCCTCGTGGATGCTGAGCTAACACAAATTCTTTATTAATAATCTCTAAGCCAGACCTTGAGCCCCTAAGGAAGAAATATTTGTCACCAAGTAGATGAGAAACTTCCTGATGGATAAATGATGTCTGACTATCAGTTCATCTGACTTAATTCCAATTGAGGGAAGTTAAGAAATTGTTTTCCATTTAACAAGCAGCATAAGATATGCCTGTTTGAAGAGGATTTCAACCAAATCACCCACATTCCTTGTAGATTATTCAGACTTGCCAGCTTGTTTAGAAGGAAAAAAAGCAATAAAACCAAACAGTATCCAGCCTGAAAGCCCATTCCAAAGCACAGTTTGCCTAGGTACAATTGTATTTTTATTATCACACACTAGATAAACTGAAATCATGCCGTCTTGCTTTAGGGAATTTGCAGCAAGTTCTAACTGTTGTTAAGAAATGGAATATAAACTACTCAGAAGCTAGTTTGGGGTTTTAATGATGCCTCTGTATTCATTCTGGAATCAGATGGTATTATTCCTGGAGTCCCTGAGACTGGCCAGGAAGCAGTATTCCCACTGCTCAGATCCGGGGAGGGAGAGAGGGAGGCTCTGCAGTTTCTTGCCTCATGTGAGGTCGTTCAACCAGGGTGTCATTACCCATTAGACCGGAATGTAGAGCGAATCGGAAAATTGTGTGAAGTGAGGATCCGGTGTGGGGATTGGCGGATAAGTAGTAGAAATAGCGAATGAGTATTTTAAAGAGAACAATGGGGCAAGGTAAAAGCAAATGTAAAACTTATGGTAGTATGCTCATCCACTTACTGAACAAACAGGGTGTAAAAGTAACGACGAAAAAGATGCAATGTTTTCTAAAAGTAGTAAAAAGGTATAATCCATGGTTCCCGGAGGAAGGAACTTTTGATCTAGAGACCTGGGAGGAGGTCATTGTTAACTTAAAGAAGGCACACAGAGATGGGGAGAGTATCCCTGAGGAGACGTGGTCTCTGTGGGTTCAAGTTAAGATGGTTTTAGTACTTTTGCAGGAGGAAGAGAATGAGGATTATCAGTCTAGTGAGAAGTCTTGTGTGAGCGATCCAGATCTAGAAAAGCAAGCTAAAGTGTCTATGAATGAGCAAGATTTAGGTGATGAAACTTTAGGAAAAACTGAAGCAGGGATTGATTTGTCATGCGAAGCCTCTGAGTCTAAAAGAAACCTCACGGCCAAAGCCAGTGCTTCGCAGTTTGCAAGTTTAGCCTACCCTTCCCCGTCTTCATTTGACGGTGAACAAATCGTGTGAAAAGAAATTAATAATGAGAGATAACCTTACTTTGTGAAATACTGTTGTTTGTAAGAAGTCTGCCTAAGCTAAAAATTGTCAGGATGAAAATTTCACATCCTGTTTCCATTTGGGGGAGTAGACCAATGAAAAGGTTAGGTTAACATTTCTGTCTTCACCACCATTGCTCCCTTTTCCCTGCCTCTGCATCTAGCAAGCATGCATTCAGAGCGGCTGTCGATGGGATGCCTTTGAGTCTGGAAGAAACAGTTAGCATCAGTTCAGACACTGCTCACGGGCTATTCTCCTAGGCGCTTCATTTGTCTGAAGCAAAGCAGTGCCTCTCAGTCACTCGGATCCTGAGCCATGGCTGGCGACACAGGCCTGGGTGCTCAGGTGACTCTAGAGTTCAGACACACAGGGCAGCCTGTGCCTGGGTACTTACTGCAAGTCTTCAGAATTAATTTCGCAACAGTTGAGATTCTTAGTGAGAAGCTACTAGTTGTCAGTTTCTAGTTGAGTTTTGTTCCTTTAACCTTGGCCAATGTTTAATAAGACTGAAACTCTTATCTGTGTAGCACCAGTTCCCATAAGGGGGCAATTCTTGAGTATAAAGGGGAAAAAATGCCGTTACATGGGTGAAAAAATGATTGTTAATAACACTCGTTTTTGATCAGTCATACAACGTGGCGATTGGATCAACATCCTTCCATCTCAGTCTCTTTCTCTCTCCCTATTTTTTTTTTTTTAGTAGTCTGATTGGGGTGTGGAGGGGGAATGAGAGAGAGACTGGATAACAATTGCTGTCGCTGTTGTTGGTTGTTACTGAATCACGCTTGACTCACAGCAGTGAAAACCTGTTGCCTTGCAGGGAATTCCCAGCCTGACTTGTGGAAGCCCTGGAGGCCGGAGTAGAACTGCTCTGTGGGTCCCAGACAGTCATCTTTAGGCAGCAGACTGCCATCTGTCTCCCACGGAGCAGACGGAGCCAGCCTTCGGGTCTGTGCGCTACAGCCCTTTTCATGGCTGCCCGGTCTCCCTGCTCAGTAGTTGTCTGTGAGCGTGTCGACTCGTCGTGTTGTCGGCCAAGTCTCAGTCTGCTGCCATTACCTGGGATGTAAACTGCTCACAAATGATTCTTTGGCCTGTCTCTTTAAATGTAGAAAAAGTGAAGCGGTAGGTTTCTTACCCAGGCTACTACTGATTTTAGCCCGTTGTGGAAATTGTGAAATAAACACTCCAAATTAACTGGTAAATTTACTTGCTTTACAAGGAACTATATGTGACCTCCTCCCTGGGGGACAGACAACAGAAAGTGGGTGAAGGGAGACGTCGGACATTGCAAGATATGACAAAATAATAATTTATAAATTATCAAGGGCTCATGAGGGAGGGGGGAGCAGGGAGGGAGGGGAAAATGAGGACCTAATGCGGGGGGGCTTAAGTGGAGAGGAAATATTTTGAGAATGATGAGGGCAATGAATGTCCAAATGCGCTTTACACAATTGATGTGTGTATGGATTGTGATAAGAGTTGTATGAGCCCCTAATAAAATGATTTAAAAAAACAACATTTTAATGCATTCTTTCTCTACAGGATACAGCATTGTCAGGTCTAACCAAATGTTGATCTCTCCCCCTCCTTCCCTCCCCCTCCGGCCTTTCTCCAGAGGAAGCTCACCAGTGTGGGAAGGGGCTCCTCATCCACTGCCAAGCCGGGGTGTCTCGCTCAGCCACCATTGTCATCGCTTACTTGATGAAGCACACTCGGATGACCATGACTGACGCTTATAAGTTTGTCAAAGGCAAGCGACCAATTATTTCCCCAAACCTTAACTTTATGGGGCAGTTGCTGGAGTTTGAGGAAGACCTAAACAACGGTGTGACACCAAGGATCCTTACCCCAAAGTTGACGGGCGTGGAGACGGTGGTGTGACAGCGGTCAGGACAGGAAGGATCCCTGTTCTCCATCAGGAGATGAAGAGCAAGAGGGCCGGGTTTTTGCCGTTCTTCTTTCCTTTAATTTTTTCCCCCCTAAGTTGGGAGGATAATGTTCGAGAATGGAGACAAACTTGTGCAGAAATGTTTTATTTTTTAACAAGTGTGAGAAGAGTTTAACTTTTGATGCCAAGATTTACTTCCCAGAAACTGATAAAACAGGGAGGCTAAAGAAGTCACTTTTTAAAAGCCAACAATTAAAATTAAGACTTGGTTGTCCCCCCACCCCCACCCCCAAACATACCAATAGCACCCTTTTTCCGCTGTACGCAGTTTCTAGAGTTTGCGATGGGACCGTCTGTGCAGGCTCATAGACCGAAGACGCTACACTTTTCAACAATAGCAAAGAACCAAACGTCAGGAGAAAGGACACTGAACTGTAAAGGCCCTGGAGTCCGGCCGGGCTGTCCATTTAGAACACTGAACCCAACCAAAGCCCTGTAGTGCTCACTGGTGCGAAGAGAAGATCAGGGCCACTTAAGTTGTCTGAGAATCCTTCCTTCACACATTCTTTAAAGAGACAAAGATGCTGTTGATTTTGTGTGTTTCATGCTCGGGATTTTTTTTGGGGGGGGGAGTCCCTTTTCTAGGTTTAAGAAATTTATTTTCAATAGCCAAGAACTTGACCATTATACCATATGCCTTCTATGGCTTCTTGTGCAATAATATGGTGTTTTGAGGTGCAGACAAATTAGTGCTGGCAGCCTAATAATAGACAAATAGTACAAACGTGCCAGCTTGGAGATAGCAAAGAATTCAACAGAACCAGTTCTTTTCCTTCCCATCTTGTACCTTTGCTCCCTTGTTTTGTTGTTGTTTTGATTTGATTCTGGTTATAGTGCCATAAACCTTGTTACATATGTATATCAGAATGTAAAAAAAAAGACAAAAATTTATTTAAAAAATATTTTTCGCATAAAAACTTGGTGTGTTTCTGTTGATTGTGTAAACATTTATTTTCATTCTATAAATGCGATTCATTGGGGATGTGTCTTTTTTCCACCTTCTTTTACTCAGCTCTCCTCAAACACCTTTTACCCATCAGTAACATGAGTAGGTTGGCTGTTGGAATTTGCTGAACATAGAGGTGGACATAAAACACTCATGTGGGGAAATGAAGATGAGGAGGGGAAAATATTCTATGCTCCGTGTGAAACAGAATTAGCCAAGAAGCAACAGAATTCCAGGGTTGATTGACCCAGTTATTACCCCTGTACTTTTTTTGCCCGGTCATACTCTTCAGCAAATAGAATTCCTCTTGATTTGGGGATGCTTCCGGTAAAGTCATCTTAAAGGTAAGGTCAAGTTTAGCCAACCTATGGGTTGTGGCGATCAAGCTACTGAAAAATTGATTGATTACAACTTCCGTGATCTGATTAGCAGCTATTTGACCAACAGGGGTCTTGAGGGCCCCTCCTCTGGCCTTGTTCACTTGCTCTCTGTGGCAGCATTCATCCATGTAGTGTGCTGCAGCAAATATCTGTTGCCTTCTCCTTGTGTAGTTTGTATGTTAGTGTGCTTGTCCCCCATTGTGGTCCACTTCAACTGAGTCAACACTGACACACCATGATGGAATATGTGTCAGAAAAAAACTGTGCTTCATAAGATGTTCAATGACTGATTTGGGGAGGAATTTGATTGCCAGCCTTTCTTACCAGGTTTCTCTGGGTAGATTTGAACTACCAATTCTTTAGTTAATCACCCAAATGTGCTCTTGCCACTATCCAAAGGACTTCTTCCCCAGGGTGATATTTTGTAATATATAGCAAGGTTTCTCTCCGTATACTATGGGGCCTGGAGCAGAGGAGGAAATTGAATTCATATATTTTCTATATCCTATTAGAAGATAGGTTTAGGAGGATGTGAGAACTGGTGGCACAGTAGGCTAACAGTTTGTTGCTAACCAAAAGGCTGGTGGTGTAATCCCATCAAGTAGATCCATGAGAGAAAGACCGTGTCACATGTGCCCACACAGAGTGCAGTGTAGTAAACCTTGTAGGGCAGTCCTCCCCTGTCCCCTGCAGTCACAACCAATCACAACCAACACGAGAGCACCTAAAAGTAATGGGGGACATGGTTATCAGGAAGGCTCGTGGCAAATTCATGTTAGCCCGGGGTGAGGAGAACAGTTGAAGGATTCTAGCATATCCAATTCTATATAACTGTATTTGGCATAACATATTGTTGCAAATCTTTCCTTATAAAAATATAATTAATATTTTGACTTTAAAAAAATCTTTTCAATTTATGGCAATTAATATTTTCTTTTATTATAAAAAGTAGAGATGGAATTAACAGGAATTAAAAAAGGGCTGCAGAATTACTTTAGTTTAATATAAAATATTAATCAAGTTAATGGAACTTTTTCTTTCATGGGGCATTTTACCACTCAAATCAACATGTTCCTGGGTGTTGGAGCATATTTAAAGAGTCAGGTTGATATATCATGATCATTGATGATTTCATTCTTTTTGTTTGGAGTCCCATTTTTTTTCATTTTTGACAGTGTTTAAGATTTATTCTCTCTCTTTTTAGGGGGAAAAAAGGAGAAACACCAGTATAGCTTCTTTAGCTTCATGCAAATGGTTTATGTTTCTGGAAGTTTATGATTCTGAGAGAAGCCTGTCCTGGAGCAGCAGGAATGCTGCCCGCCAGCATACCCAGAATTCTAAGGGGGTTTGGGTCTTTTCCACTAATCTGTTTGAGTCGCTTAGCCTACGTTTCTTCAGGAGGAATGTTAACCACTTCAGGCAGGAAAAGAATACGGATTAGCCAACTGATTGCTGTATAAACCAGACTCCTCGGGTTTCTGGGTCTGAGCGCTTGAGGGCGAAGCTGGGAAAAAGTGGAGGGTGTCTCCTTGAGCAAACAGCACCAGAATCAAGCAAGCTTGCTGTCCACGCAATAATTTCAATTACGTAATGAAATGGGTCCATCAAACATAGTACAGGAAGAGATACTGCTGGCATTGTTACTTTAACAATAGCAACTGTGAACCCTCTAGGCCTGTTGCAACGGGGAACACTCTTTCAATCAGTGCATATTAACCAGGATATAGAGTTCTCATTTTTATGGAAAATAGTGTGCCAACTGCTTCTGAATTATGGATGAGCAGCATAGAAGAGGCTGGGGAAGCAGGGAAGCTCATACATGGGACATGGTCAAAGGGACATGTAACAGATGAAACACGTAACAACCCAGAAATCATATGTTGATATTAAATGGGAAAATAGGACATTCTAAAAGGGTAATGGCATATGAGAAATAAGAAGATAAAATAGAAAACTATATATATATGGTTTTATAACAAAAAATTAATATATTTAAATATATAAAAATAAATGTATTTAGGTATGTTTACATATAAATATATTAATTATAATTTTAGATAAATGTATGTTTAAAATTTATATGTGTTTAAATTTATATAATATATTTTTAATATTATTTATATTACACATATAATATATATTAAAATTTACATAACCATATATGTATATGCTTCCATGAGTGGTTATTCGTTGGGCCGCTAACCACAAGGTTAGCAGTTTGAAACCACCAGCTGCTCCAGAAAGATGAGGCTTTCTGTTTCAATAAAGTTACAGTCTCAGAAACCCACAGGGTCAGTTCTGTCCTGTCTTGTGGGGTCACTATGAGTTGGCATTGACTCAATGGCAGTGATCTAACACTGGGGTTTCAAAATGTTAGTGGAAAATTTCTTTATCTTTTAATTCCATCTTTTCACAAGTTTGTTGAAGCCTCTTCATGTATAGATGAGTGAAACATCAGCATAAAAAAACAGTAACAACAAAAACCCACCAAGGTTCTGAATCACATTCCAGAAAGTAAACAAGATAGAATGCTAATAAATTGCTCTAACGCTACCTAGAAGGTAAGAAGTGTGGCACGCCAAATAGAGACCACACAAAAATAGCCTTTGCTATATTTGGCGATAGCCATTGTAAATAAGCCACATGTTATCATTGAGGTCTTTTTCCAAACATATCTAATAGCAGGAAATTAGGTAGTTGATGCTTGGTTCTAAGTTCTGATTAGAATCAGTTATGGTATAAGAAATGGATGGAAGGGGAGGCAAGTGGCTTTTAAGCACTGACCATCAGAAGGAGAGCCAATAATCAAGTGTTTGGAGCAAAGTGCCCAAAGTAAACCTGTGTAGAGAAGATGACCTGCTCTTATAGATAGGGTAGAATACTAAAGTTTTATTTCCTCTGGGTTAATTTTGGTCAATTTTTCAATGATACGCATATTAGATTTTGGTCAGGAGCAGCAAGAGTATGAGTGATATAGAATAATGGGTTTATTGTAGGGATTTACCCTCATGGGATTCGGGAATTGAGTGACGAAGTTGATGACGGCCTTACGTCTCAGGAGGTCATCAGGGCCATCAGGCAGGAAGGAGGTAGGGTGTGGAGGAGAGCAAACTGGAAGCAAAAGGGAAAACAAATGGAATCCATATCTACCCTTTACCAGCCTCAGTGATTGGTCTTGGAGAGCTGAACATATCCTTGGTTTGGGATTTGGTACGAACTTGGCTGAAGGAGGAGCTCTGCAGGGAGTCATAAGAGTTGCGATCATAACTGCAGCCTCAGGTGAAGGTGTGCCCCAGACACATGCAGTGAGGAGCAGGCTTGATACTTCCATCAAGGTATAGGTGCTGCTGCTTCACTTCTGCCTTCCAATGTCCGTGCACACCTCTCAGTGCTAACTTTTATCCAGTATAGATGGAGGAAAGAGAATTTTGGAAAATTTAGTTTCTGAGTAAGTGAAACCGATGCCATACAAAACCACCAATAGGTTGTCCCTTGGCAACTTGTTCTAGGTGCCCTTGATTCAGTTCCATCCCATAGCAACCTAACGCACAACAGAACGAAACACTGCCCTGTCCTGTGCCATCCTCAAAATTGTTCCTATGCTTGAGCCCATTGATTGCAGCCACTGTGCCAGTCAGTCTCCTGGAAGGCCTTCCTCTTGTTCACTGCCCCTCTGCTTTACCAACCATCATGTCCTTCTCCAGGGACTGGTCTCTCCTGACCACATGTCCAATGTATGTTGAACGAAGTCTCGCCATTCTTGCCTCTAAGAAGCACTCAGGAGGCACTTCTTCCTAGACAGATCAGTTTGTCCTTTCAGCAATCCGCGGTACTTTCCATATTCTTCTCCAGCACCACAATTCACATGCATCAGTTCTTCTTTGGTCTTCCTTATTCAATGCCCAACGTTCACATGCAAATAAGCAATTGAAAACATCATGGCTCGAGTCAGGCAAACCTTAGTCCTTGCAGTAATAGTTTTGCTTTGCAATACCTTAAAGTGGCCTTTTACAGCAGATTTACCTCATGCACTGTGTATTTTGATCTCCTGACTGCTGCTTCCATGAGCATTGATTATGGATTCATGCAAGAAACAGTGATTGACCATTTATCATAATGTTATCTATCGGTCCAGTTGTAAGGATTTGAGTGTTTTTTACACTGAGCTGTGATCCATACTGCAGGCTGCAGTTCTTCATCTTCAGCAGCAAGTGCTTGAAGTCCTCCTTACTTTCAGCAAGCAAGTTTGTGTCAGTTGCTTATCGCAGGTTGTTACTAAGCCTTCCTCCTATCCTGATACGTCATTCTTTTTCATATAGTCCAGCTTCTCGGATTAGTTTCTCAGCATACAGATTGAATATGTCTGGTGAGAGGACAGACCTGTTTTACACACTTTTCTGATTTTAAACCAGGCAGTATTCCCTTGTTCTGTTTTCACAATTAACTCTTGATCCATGGACAAGTTTTCCATGAACTCAATAAAATATTCTGGAATTCCCATTCTTCAAAGGTTATCCATAATTTGTTATGATCCACACAATCTAGTGCCTTGGCGTCAATAAAACACAAGTCAACTT